CGGGGCGGAGGAAGCCCGGGAGCCCAGAGGAGGCGGCAGAGCAAGAGGCGAGAGGCAGCCACGGGCTTCTCTGGCTCCGGGAGCCCGGTCCTCTCTCCCAGCCCTTCTTCCCACCCTTCTTCCCTTCGTGCTCCCGCAGAAGCGATGTGTGGTCCTCCCGCTTCTTGAAGCATTTTTGGAGCGCCTAGGCGCCCAAGCCCTGATTTAATATGAATATGCCCTAAAGAGAAAAACAAGCAAATAAAAATCATTTATTGAGCGCTTACTATTTATCAGACACCGCGCAGGATTTTATGTTTTTAAGCAATATAATCTCATTTAATTTTTAAAACTATTCTAAGAGGCAATACAATCCTTCTCTCCTCCTCTCCACCCCCCGCCCCCATTTTACTCACAAAGACCCTGGGCTCATAGAGATGAAGTCTCTTCATGTGGTGAGAACAGTACTGTGCTTTAAAGACCGTGGACCTAAATTTTGCTCCTGGTCTCCCACTGACTAACTGGACTAGTACAATCTTGAGCAAATTACTTAACCTCTCAAAGCCTCAGGTTTCTCATTAGCAAAATGGGGGAGCTGTAGCCACCTCATAGGAGTCACATGAGGACAAAGCGAGAGGACATATGTGACACATTGGCTCCAAATAGGCCCTCAGTGGGTGAGCATTCCCCTCAGTTCTCCCCGAGAGAGATCTGAGCCCTGAGCCCAGGGCCTCCGGCTGCTCTGTCTCCCCGACTGGGCTGCTCTTTATCACCCCTCACTTCAGTTTTCTTTTTGTAGCGTGGGGACACCCTCATCTTGAGTGTCATGAATGGATGAGGCTATTTTTCAAGCTCCCCACAAGGTCTTGAGTCTCACCACAGTGCCAGGAGGTTGGGAGGGGAGAGTATTCTTGTTTTCTGAAGGTAAACAAGGCCAAAAAGTGAACCCTGGAGCAGGGTGAAGCTGGGCCCAGGACTGGAAGGAGGCCCTGGGGATGGCCCTGGGAGTGTGAGCCACCCCCCACCCCTCATCCAAGGATGCCATAGCACACTGAATGGTGGGCCCCCAGACCCCTGACTCCCACATAACACGGGGCATCTGGAACAGTTCCATTTAGCTCCCAACAGGCTCAATCTGAGGCAGAAGTCTTATCCCCCCCCCCCCCCCCCCCCCC